GGCAGGGACAGAGGAGCCAACCTCCAGGAGGGAGGAGGAGCTTCTTTCAGCAGCACTGCCCACCCCCCGCCCCCAGTTACAGACTTCACATCTGCTGGCAGGAGCCGCTTTAGTGGCCCTGACTGCCAGGGTCTGGGCTGTGGGAGGGGCAAGGTGGGCTGATGGCAGGGCAGCCCTGGAGTGGCCCTGGCCCCTGGGTCCGCTGGGTTGGGGCGGGGGGCGGGGGTGCCATGTGCCATGAACAGCCTGCTCAGTCCCTGTGGCCCAGCTCAGGCCTTCTTGTGGGCGGCAGCCCAAGTGAGAGCTCCTTCCAGGGCAGACGGGCTGTGACCATCACAGGTCCCAGGAGGGGTCTTCTGTCCTTGTTAGGAGATAGTCACTGGGGCTCTGGCTCTGGCAGGGCGGCCCCTCCTGTGCTGTCACCTCGCTCCCAGGCCGCGTGGTAGTTACGTGGGCCTTGTCCTTTCCACCACTGAGGCCTGTGAACTCGGACGCCGTCTGCTCTGCTGGGCTCCCACTGAGTGAGCAGCTCTCGGCTTCATGGCCCCCCAAACTCCAGCTTTCCCTGCAAACAGCCACAATGATAGGGTGGCAGACCTTCTTGGGGCTGGGACTAGTGCCATGGGGGCCAGAGGGTCCTCTAGGGCTGAGTGGGGACCCACCCTCACCCCAAGTCACGTCCTCAGACCATGTCCCTCCGACAGGGGCCTCCTGGGCTTTCCCAGTGAGCGGGCGAGTGCTGCTGAGCTTAGGGGCTTGTCCTTGTCTGGCCTGAGGAGGGGCCTTCAGCCTGGGGTGCTGTTCCCCCAGCACAGTGGAAGGTGCACCTACAGGGGAATGGGCAGTGGGCAAGAGGGTGTGCTGCCTGGACGGCCTCGGAGCTGTCAGAGAGAGAGGGACAGGCCTGGGGAACCACAGGGATGGGGGGCCGTCAGGGGACAGGCTGGAGAGCTTGGGCTTCTCTTGAGTCATTTGAACAAGCCCTCGGGGGACGTAAGAGATGGGCCGTGTGGTTCTGGACAGCTGCCCTGACAGTGAGCAGGAGTCAGGGCCGGTGGCCACTGGCCATGAGCCTGAGAAGTCTGCCTGTGCCCGCAGGGCCTCACTCTGGCTGGGCATCCGTGTGAGCTGGGCCTGTCATGAGCAGGGCGGGCCCCTTCCAGGCATGTCCCCGCGTTGCACTGGGTCCAGGGCTCAGCAACACACAGTGTCCTCGGGGCCGTATCTCTCTCAGCTCTGAAATTCAAGTGGAAAATGCCCCCGGGAGGCCACTCTCACTGCCAGTGGGATCGCAGGGAGGGTCATCTTACAGCACTGGTCTGGGCATGGTTGGGCTTGGCCGGGACGCGTGGCCTTTCTGTCCTGGTTACTTGATGCTCAGTAGCCATGCTTGACGTGTCGAAACAGCACACTTTGCCAGCTCCAGAGTCTCCCCTGGCTCCCATGGGGTTGTGGCCTTGAGGAGCTCGCAGCTTGATTTGGGGGAAGATGGGAGGCATGGATGGTTCCAGTGGTGAAGAAGCCCGGGTGGGGGCGCTGCTCTGGCTCCGAGGTGCTGAGGAGGAGTGGGAGGGAGAGGCTCAAGCATGGCGGCCGAGGGTTGGCAGGGTCCCCCAGTGGGGTCAAGTGTGTGTCCCAGAGAGTCCTGTCTGGCTGTAGCAAGGAGGGGGCTGGCACCCTCAAGGGGGGTGGTCCATTTACAGAAGATGTGACCCCAGCCAGGCAGTGTAGGAAGCAAGCTGGCACGTATCGATGTGGGGGTGACGGCAATCCCAGGGGCCCAGGTTTCTGGGTGTGTGGCTGCAGGGTGGAAGGGATGTGGTTTACGATGGGGCATAGAAGAAAGAAAAGGGGCAGGTTGGGCTGGGGGCCCAGGGGGCCCTGGTTGCACACATTGTGTCTTCTGCCCGGGATCAAGCTGGGCTGGAGAGAAAATCGGGAGTCGGTGGGCAGTTAAACCGCCAGGTGGGCTTTCGCACCCTTGGGAGCAGGGAGCCTCCCATCCTCAGGAGGCCATCGAGACAGATGCTGCCCAGAAGTCCTTGGGGCCTCAATGAGGAGTCATCCCCCCGGAGCCCTGCCGCATGTCTCAGGAGGCCCGGGAGGCACTGGGTTGAGGACAGGTCTGCTGCTGCCTCCCAGGCGTGGTTGCTCTGTGGTTTCTCGCAGCCTCCACAGGTTCACTACTTCCCAGGCATGGTGATGTCAGGCTCGGGTGGAGAGGTGGAGAGCTGGGAGGCCTGCCCCTTGTGTGCGGCCTGGAGGTGGGCAAGCTAGGCCTGCACAACGGGGTCCCCGTTCTCGGACCCTGGCCTGCGGTGGGCTCCACCCCCAAGCAGGGCACTTGGCCTCAGGGCCATGAAGCTCCCGGCTGCAGGCTGCCTTTCCATTCAGGGCCCGAGTCCTCATTGTCTGCATTTGGCATTTTCAGATTTTGCAAGAACGGGGTTCAAGGATGTGAGGAACACAGTGTTGACAACTGAAGAGACGTTTTACCTTTTCCCAAGATGCAATGATCTGCCATGTCGAGGAAGCTTGGCCGTGAGAAGAAACCTGCTTTTGACAATTTCTCTAGAGATCTGGGTGTGAATCCTTTTTTTGCCTCTGAGGTGGGTGGTGAGAGACAGGACCAGCTGTCTGAGGCCGGGCGTCGCCACTCAGAGGTGGCATGCTGCCTGGGCAGGCGTCTCTGTAGGGACCTCCGCTTGGTTTTCACAAGTGCCGCTCAGGCCTGAGGCAGGGCGCTCCTGACTGACCCTTTAATCACCGAAGATCATTTAAAGGACAGCGTTCTTGGTGCTACATAAACAGTCTGTAACGGAGCCTGGGCCTTGCTGGTAGGAAGTGGCCGCAGCACCACGGCCCTGGGCTCTGGGTGCCTGCTGGTCACCCTGGCATGCACCAGGCCCTCTTCCTCAGGGCAGGGGGTCTGCTGTGCCTCCCAGACGTGACCGGTTGGTGGTTTCTCCCAGCCTCCGCGTGTTCACTACTTCCCGGTCCTCCTTCAGAGCTGGGCTCCACTGGCCTGATCCGGCCTGGCACAGCCAAGGCTTCTCCATTTGTAGTTTCCAGGCGAGAGACCTTTGCATCCTTTCTTTCCAATTGTGGATAGACAACCCAGTGCTTTCACTTCTTAGAAATGCCTAAAAGTGCTGCTGCCTTTTGGGCTGATCTGTTAAGACATGTAAAGGGAGGTACAAGTTTTACCTCGTCTGACCCACCTTGGGGCTCAGGGGGAGCTGGCGCCCATCAGTGCCTTGGTCTCGCCTGGGATGGAGGTCGGGGCGGGAAGCCTGTCCACCCGGCTTCTGGAGCTGAAACTCCAGGTCACATTGGAAATTGGATGTTTACAGCACATCACAAACATCTCTCTCTCGCCGGCTCTCTCGTGTAACTATGCAGTTCTCTCTGACGTTTCTGGGGCGGTGGGGGCACAGGCTGCACGGGCCCTGCCCCCTGACCTGACGGAGCTATCGGGATTCCTTTGAAAACCGCTGTCCGCATGCTTTGAGAACAGACCTTCCTCAGCTGGTCGTGGGGCCTGTCCATCTGGGGGGCCTGGCCGGGCAGGTGGCTCTGCCTCCTGACCTCCAGCTTCCAGGGGAGCTGTGCCTACCGACCACTGTCTGGTTCCAGACACTTCCAGAGGCTTCTTGCCTGTGCCCTCTTCTCCTTTGCCAATATTACCTGATGAACCAAGTTCTCCAGCACCTAGGACTTACCTCCTCCTTTTGTAAGGTCTGTTGTATGTTGTTAAATGTTTGGCTTCATCCGTTTATAGCAATCTTTCTGTAGGACACACTTGGCCCTGGTGACCTGTCCTCCCGGTGGAGCGCGCGGGGGCTGGGCAGCCCCTCCTTGGCCTCGGGGTGTACCAGTGGGGCGCTGCTGGCCGTTTAGCGTTGTTTGATTTGTGACCTTGACGTAATAGATAGGCTTGGGGTTTTTTTTTTAATTTAAAGATATTAAGACTTAATTCACTAAAATTTATTGTAAGGGAATATTTATACTTTTGTACTTTTTTAGGTATCCGTATTTTATCAGCTTACAGTTTAATGCCTAAGTTTCCCCTGAAAATAGTAAATAAAATTGTGTATTTATGAATGAGCAGAACAACTGTTAGTGTCTTAAAATGCACGGAAGAGCCACTACTGCGGAAGCGCCGCCTTGGGCTTGCGGCAGCCCCGGGCCTGCCGCCTGTGTCACTGTTCAGCCTGGGGCTGGCAGGTTAGAGCAGCACAGGCCTGTCTCCCCGCCTCGGCTGGACCAGCCCCTGGCCCTCACCCATCATCTCTTGATGGTATTGTGCCCCCATCCCTTGGGCCAAGGAGATCATCTTCAAGAGACTTTTTTAAAAGTACGGATACTTCGTTGCA